CATTAGATGAATTTGTCAATGCAAGCATTTCTGTGCCAGAAAATGAGAAAATGCTGATGCAGAAGCTGACGCACAAGCCTAAAATTCTATTCCCACAATTGCTAGCCTCCTTCGCACTTCTGATGTTCGATTGGTCTCTTAAATCACGGCTCCAGAAATTACTTTTCTCCACCGAACAATAGGCAACTTTGATGAGGTTTTCACTAACGATTTCGTGGCTCCGGCGAGTATTCTTCCACTTTGTTCTTATATCCAAGCTAGGTAAAGTTATTTTCTGTGTTTTGCCTTTCCGTTTTTTTGTGGAATTTATGTTAGATATATAATACATAAAAATTGAGTGATTTGAATGCAAAAATTGAAGTTTGCATGTTAGATATATAATACATAAGAATTGAGTAGAATGTATGTAAAAATCAAAGGTTAGGTGTTAGATATGTAATACAAAATAGTGAATGGTTTGTATGCAAAAAAATTGAAGTTTAGCTGTTAGACGTATTGAATTGTGATTATTTACTTTTATTACAATTAATACTGCAACTGCTATGTTGAATTGATTTTCTCAATTTTAATCATAAGAACAAGGCATTTGTAAGCTACTTACACATTGAGAATGAGAGTGTTATAAATAAAAGTTGAAAAAAAAAATTAGATTAATTTAAATCAGCTTAGGTTCAATTAACTCGACAATGCACTTATATGTAAGCTGAATTCTTAAATTACAAATGTTTTTTAAATTTTCTAATAGATTCATGATCATAACATTGAAATAACAAATCAGGGTTTAATGGATCTAGTTTGGGGGCCTAATCGCAAGGTTATTATGTGGTCAATGTATGTAAATGGGTACAGATTTCACAAAAGTTTTTAGTCCAAATGAAAAAAAAGGTATAATTCAAGTATATTTGTTAAAGAAAAGACCCACTCTGATAGTGTGATCAACTATTACTGCATTATAAATGAAGTTGTGCATTTATGATATTTAGATTGTATTGAATGCAATATATTTTTGTTCAACTAATGCAATATATTTATGTTCAACTATGAGTATTTTGATCATGTTCCTGAAGAACCAAGAATAATAAACCCACATGATATCATAAAAGTTAAAATGAATATAAGAAAAATGAAATTTAATCCATTTATTCTAGCACATCAAGACAATCAGATATATTACCTTACATGTCCCGGCATAGCAAGATATAAACTTGATTGGGCAGTATTTGTAAAGTCTAAATCTATAGCGACTATTGAGGTAAAAACGTTATTAAACCTACCATCAAGAGTAGAAAATGTCAGATTTCAGTATCCCCTCGATTCAATTGAGACCAAGGAATTATCTTGGTGGATATCATTGGGTCGTATGAAGAAGTTATGTAGTGGATGAGTTTGATGATAATATAAACGAAAAAATTTTAAGTTCAATCATCTGATGAAACATTATAAGATAGCATATAGTCTTAGTTTTCAGTTTCTCTCTATTTTTAACTCTTATAATACTGAGTTTTTATTATTCGCACTGTCAGTTTTGATGGTTTCTGGTTTTACTTTTGGTAGTTATATATATATATATAATTGAGAAGGTATATTGGAAGCCTCCCCAACAGTCCACCATCAAGATTAATACTGATGGAAGTTATATTGGTTGGGGTATTGGGGTGGGAAGGGTTTTCAGGGATTCCTCCAGCAATTGCCTGCTATATTTTCAAGCTCCCATTGAAGCTAGGGATGCACTTGAGGCTGAGCTCATTGCAGTTTTCTAGGTTTTAACCTTTGCTTGTAAAGCTAATTGGTTCAGTGTGTGGCTTGAGGTGGATTCCTTATTGCTTATCAATCTACTAAATTTTGAAGATCAATCCTCTTGGTATCACAATCAGTGGATACAGAAGATAAGGATTATCCAGAACACCCTCAGCCTCCAAAGCACTTTTATTTATAGGGAAGGTAACAAACCTGCCCATTGGCTGGCTAATCAAGGCCTTCATTCCAATTCCATATCTATTGCTACCAGACCCCCTACCCCATTAGCTCTTTTTACTCCATGGTGATACCATTGAGGCCCCCAATCTCAAAATCACTGCCAGCTAGTCTCATGTTCTTACTGCACCTTCTGTCCTCTGGCTCTTTAATCAGTTGTCTGTTTTGTTTGATTCAGCTTTATATATATACTCCCACACTGCTATATATATATAAAAAAAAGCCTTTTGATGTTTAGATCAGTGTTTAGTGTACGGTCACCTCTATAGGTCTCTGTCTGTATTTTTGGTTTTTTGAGATAGGGGACCTGTCCCAACTATGTATTTTGTACTGTTTTTTGCTGATCAACATGCAGGGAGACGTATAATGCTCCTTCTACTATATATATATATATATATATATGTATATATATCTTTTATTTCCTACTTAGCATAATTCTGATCAATTTATTTCTTCTCGTTACAAATGGCTTGGGGTGGGGGTGATTAGCGGCTGGCACACAGACCAATTCTGTCAAGTTACCCGAAGAAGTAAGAAAATATCCTACTCCCCTTCACAACCAAGTTGCACCATGACAATCACCTCTACACCACCACACTGGATCCTACCATGCCTCTTGCTCCCACTCCAACTACATCGGGCTTCCACACGCCTTCAATCCCTAGCACACCGCCACCTCAGCCCTCATCTGAGCCTAGCCCTTTCCACTCCTCCTAAGCAGGACGACTCGAGATGCATATACATATAGCCAAAATGAGACTCATGAGTAACCTAATTAACTTAAAGTAATTTTTATTAGTTTTCTATTATAATATTTTACCAATATTTGTATTTTAGATTTCTTATAATCAATTTGGATTTATGTCAGGCAGGTTACCATGGAAGTTATACATTTATTGAGAGGTTTGATGGAGAAGTTCAGAGATAACAAGGAGGATCAACATTTGATTTTTATTGATTTAGAAAAAGTTTACGATAAAGTTTCAAGAGTTATCCCTTGGAGAGTTCTTGAGAAGAATGGTGTTGTTATGACTTATATTCAAGTTATTAAGGATATGTATGCTAAAGCTATAACTTGTGTTCGAACTGAAGGAGGATTGACCAAATATTTTCCTATTTCTATTGGATTACATCACGGATCGATTTTAAGTCCATATCTTTTTCTTTAGTTATGGGTGGTCTTACTGGACATCTACAGGAGGATGTACCTTGGTGTTTCCTTTTTGTTGATAATATCGTTCTCGTGGATAAGACGAGAGAAAGAATCCAGGAAAAAACTTGAATTATGGAGGTCTACATTGGATTCTAAAGGCCTTCATTTGAGTAGAACTAAAGCTGAATACATGGAATGTATTTTTAGTAATAGTAGCTCTAGTGACAAAAATGTAACTTTGGGTGATCAAATTATTAAAAGGCGTGAACAATTTAGATATCTCCGGTCTTTTGTTCAAAGCGATGGTGATATAGATGGGGATGTTAATAGTAGAATTCAAGTTGATTGGTTGAAGTGGTTGTGTGATAGAAATGTTCCTCTTAGACTGAAAGGAAAATTTTATTAGATGGTGGTGAGACCTGCAATGCTAAGACCTGTCATGCTCTATGACGCTGAATGTTGGGCTTTAAAAGAGAAGCATAATACTGAGTTAAGTGTTTTCGAGATGTGAATGATTAGGTGGATGAGTGGCTTTACACTTAGAGACAAAATGAGAAATGAATATATCCATGATAGGGTTGGTGTAGCTCCAGTGATGGACAAAATTAGAGAGACTCATCTTAGATGGTTTGGACACATTAAACGTCGACCATCAAATGATATGATTAGGAGAGTAGATGTTTTAGATTCGACTTACGTTAAGAAAGGCAGAGGTAGACCTAGAAAGACTTGGGCTTATTGTAAAAAAAAATGATCTTAATGATCTTATTTATTAGAACTAAATGAAAATATGACACTAAATAGGACGCAATGGAGAAAAAGGATTCATGTAGTTGACCCCACATAGTGGGATGAAGGCTTTGTTGTTGTTGTTGTATTTGTATTTTAGATTTTATCTATCTAGGCAACCCATCCACTGCATCACAAAGATCATCACAAGCGGATATGATGTTTCGTACCTTTCTTGGAAGAAGATCTCAATCAAGATTTAAGACATGCGGTTTCGAGAGTTTGAAAATAAAAAGAATTGATTTTAAATTGCAACTATAAATTAAAATTATGTTTTAATAATAAAAATTGCTTCAAATTACTTTTACAAAGCAATTTATGATGGGAAGTCGAACTTCATCAACAGATCAAGAAGAACGTTCAATCAAGAGGGAAACATCAGAACATATGTTCACTGCAATTCACAAGAAAAATCAGAGGCATGTATGGATAGCAGAGGATGTGTGAGTTGAATTGACTAGAGTGTGGTCTACTCCAGAGTATATTAGAAAGTGGGAGATGGCCCAGCAAAACCGAGCATCCGAGTGTGGGGATATGGGTGCCTCATTACATAATGAAGGTTTAGTCCCATACACCGAGTACAGGAGAAAGTTCGTATGATTCATTCAATACTCGATAATTCATTTATATAATTATCTGATACTTATTTTTTTTTACATGTTAACAGAGGTAAGAGTTTGAATGGGAGCCCACCGTTGCTGAGTTGCATGCTCGAACAGGCATCAAGGGCAGAAATTGATCAACGACAGATCTCAGCGAGTCAATGTAAATAAAATAGTATTTTTATTTCTCTAATTTTCTTGCATCCCTATATAAAGTATTAATTATCCATTGATTTTACTTCTCTAGGAGGACTATGAGCGTCTGAGGGAGAGTTGTGCAAAGGGAACCTCATCTCCACAATGATCTCTCTATTGGCTTGACTGTAAACAAGTGAATCAAAGCCATTAAAATCTTATAAATCTATCAAACATAAGTAAAATATAAACAATATTCAAGTTCCAGATCAAAACATATGCAGTATATTAGAATACTACAACATATAGTTTCAAATAAAGTTTGTATTCATAGGTTTACTACTTGCCACAAGGTCATAGTAGGCAGCATAATACTGTGGGAACCTTCCTTTAGCCCCACCAAGAGACGTCTGTGTTGCATCCAGTAGAAGAAATATTCTTTCTTTATCTGTCAAGAAACATAGAAAAATATTTCCTAGTCATACACAACGAAAAAGAATTAGATAAGCAAGTGAAGTACATGTGTATCACAAGTGATAACAAAAAATGGGTAAACCTTCCTCTTGACAATTTTCACAAGTATTGGGAGAAGACCAGTATCAATCACTTGTCTGTGGATATGTTCTCCACAATTATTCATCAACATCTCCAACAACTGCAATCAAAAAAAATTTCCACATGGTCATGCCAACAGTTAAATATAGGGAAGTCAACACATGACAAAGAAATCAGCCTCCAATCCAACTACCAAAAAATCATAGTGGCACCCTTGGTTTCTGATCATGTCATAAAATGAAGTCAATATCCAAAATAAAAGAAAGAACGGAAAAGAAAGCTATCCCTCTCTACCCTCCATGAATGCTGTCAACACCACAAATGACTGACCCGGGGTAAGTTAAACAATCAATGAGTGAATAAATAGGAGCAGACAAGGAGAAAAATAAAGCACATACGATAATCATTCATTGACCTGCATGGAGAAATATACAGTACTTCTACAAATCAATTGCCAACTTCTTGATGGTATGACCTGGAAACAAATCTGTACAGAGAAGTATGGATTGACAAAAATACAAAAAAAAAGTTATGACATCAACCCAATTATGATTAATTTGTGTTAAGTTAAAATAATGGTTCAAGTCATATATCCAATATCCAAGCCCATATACGGTGGCTAATGTAGTGCATGCATCAGACATATCATAACTATGGAAAACCTAAACCAAGAAAGAATACTCCAATTATTGCACAAAAGGCTATGGAAAACCTAAACCAAGAAAGAATACTCCAATTATTGCACAAAAGGCTATGGAAAACCTAAACCAAGAAAGAATACTCCAATTATTGCACAAAAGGGGTATAGCCTCCAGGCAAATAGTAGCAAAGGTTCAAGCAAGAAACATAGAGCTATGCACAATACATGTGCAAATCATGCATAAAATGTTATTTAGAAAAGCTGGTTCAAGGACTTGATATCCTAAGGTGTCATCCAAGCCACAGGTCCACCAAAATGGACAAAAAGCAGTAGGGAGAAGGAAAAGATGGGGAGTTTAATGCGGATAGTTTTAACCTTCTGTAAGAACCATTTTCCATCAGATCAACCATTATTTATTTCTTAGCTTGTTAGGAGCCTATTTTGCCCTGCTTTTCATTTTGAGAACCATCTGACCGTTTGGGGGCTCTCTTTTCCACTGCCTTTTGTCGCCACATGTTATCGGAATGGAGAAATGGTGAACAACCGGGGTTGCCTCCATTCTGCAGCATGGATTGAGGTTTGGGTGAGAAATTATTAACCTATCTAGCTTAAATTTGCTAAAGGGCGCCCTATATCCTAGATAATACCCCTCGTCCCCTCTCCCTCCATACGACTTTCGATGTGGTTTTAGGGCACATTTGCAGTTCTTCGACACTTTTCACCTCTGTTCGTCATCACTGTTTCCGCCTCTCTCTGTATGTATCGTTCACCTTCCATTCTTTCTCGATTATACAATGTGGCGATGTTGTTTGTCCTATGATGTGGTGGTATCTTGCTTTCTATTTTACCTTTTTCTAACCCTGTTGAGCTTCTCGGTTTTCCTCTATGTTGGTGGTTTGCTATCGATGGGGCTTCCCTGATGGTCTTTTTCCTCCAGGTGTGATGAATTTCTTTTCGGGGCATTTACATAGCACTCAATTCCTATATATTTACATGTGTGATGTGCATGTGATGAACTTATTTTTATCTTGGTGATGTGGTGCTTGAGATGGTGTGCTACTTGAGTTGGTGACGACAGGGGCTCTCTGTCATGTGGAGGTGGTGAAAACAAGGGCTTCCCTGTTATGTGGAGGTGGTGACGATGGGGCTTCATTGTTATGTGGAGGTGGTGTTGATGGGGCTGCCCGGTTGGTGGTTTCCTCCATCTGTAATGAATTCTTTTTGGGGCATATACATACATACATACCACTCAATTCTTATGTATTCACATGTGTGATGTGTGTTTGTCTTTCGGAGTTCTTAGTGACTATTGGCACTTAGGAAGAAGAGACAAGAGGAGGAATTGAGAGATTTCTTTATTTCTTGTGTTTATCTTTTAGAGATTAGAGGTGTGTAAGGGATTGTTGTTTGCTATGCAATGAGGGAGTGAATCTTCTGTAAAGATAAGTCTTGTACTTTTTTTTGTATTTTCTTTGAATTATTGAAAATATAATTGTATGATTTCAATGTCATTTATAACAAAGAATCAATGTGTTTTCTCCATGCTTAGTGAGTAATTTTCTTTATTCTTTCCTCTAGTTATGAAATAGTGGCATACGTAGGAAAAAATGTTTTATGATAGAATAATTTTAATTTCCATGTGACGAGTAATATTTTAGTTGTTTCATTGGCATAACATATTGGCTATATGTTATGTTAAAATGTGTTGTAAGTTGAGATTAAGACTCGGAAGACTTCATAACTTAAGGGCACTCACATTGTTCGGTTGGCTACGATGAAGTACTTAGGCGGTGATGCAACTTTTAAAGGAAATATACTTCATGATCTATTTCTATTATGAGCTTCCAGGTGACAATTAATGTAAGTGAATGGGTTCCGTACCATGAGTTGTAAGGTTTTTTAACCACCTTCGCATCTTTGCTAGTTGTGTAAACCTAATAGAATATTAAGCTTATCAATATACTCGAAAAAAGATAGGTAGACATGTTCCTTGTTGGCACAAAAGCTATTACATAATTCTATAAATTATTCTACTGCTTATGTCATTATCTCATTGCAAAAGGGAATGAATTTTGATTATATAAGAACTTTCCAAAATTTAACCAGCCACCGTAGATTAGGTTTTTATTCAATTTAGTTAACTTTAATTTTAGATTAAAGTAGTGAATTTAGGAAAATTAATTTTTTTTCAAAAATTTCAGGCTAAGACGAGTTATTGTATACTAGAACTTCTACAGAAGTCGTTACAAATTAACACCTTTCCTCGTGAGATCGATACTCAGGCTATTTGAAAGAAAGCTCTATATTAATTGAACAATACATGCACATACGTAGTATTCTTGGCGTGTAAAATTAAATTATGGAGAAAAATGAGAATTATTTGTTAAATAGCACTCTGTCGAGAATTAATGGTGCAAGCACACACAGGCAGTGAGAGTTAAGTTTTTTGCGCCGTTGTCTGGAATTGAAATTAAAGTAATTACACACGAAACACGCACATATTGTTGGGATCACTGGACTTGTTTTATTCTTCTGATGTAATTATTTTGAAAACTGTATTTATTTACATAAATTACATAGAACAGTCTTTTTCATTAGAAGCTGCAGCACAGCTGATTATCCAAATAGATTCTTGTTATTCCAACAGCAGCTTTCTGACTACACTTAAGAGGTTGTTTCTCCAAAAAGTAGCTTGCCTATTGCTTCTTCGAAAAACAGCCGCTGCCCAAAACGCACTCTAAAAGTATAGTTGGAAATGGCAATAGTTTCCTAGGAGACTAAGGCACCGTACTCAAACATCATCAAAAAGTTTCCCTTTAGCTTGTGGTAGTTAGAGTACTATTCCACAGCTCAATCTTTTGCTTTATTTTTTTTTATTTTATTCCAGCAGCACAACTTATCAAGGGTGAGTTTCAAGATAATTTCTTTATCATAAATTAAAATTATAAGACATAGCCTGATATTTTAACTAAACATTTAATCCTAGTCAATCTGATGCACAAGATGTCATGCAGGTCAAGGTACCACCTTTAATCAATCTTCTCTACCAATCAACCTCATAAGAGTTTCCACCTTTCATTTCATCTCCAAATTGCAACTGACCTTTAGGATTATAATTGTAATATTAAGGAAGACTCAAGTACATCGTCAGCAAAGTATTGAATAAAATTACGTGATGATAACTCTCTCATCTGACAGGAAAAATAAGCAGTCACCTTTTAAGTATTAAATAAAAGATGGATCTATACATGCTTGTGGGAAAAAAAATATAATACAATGCTTATTGATAATTTTAGTTTAATGATGCAAGAAGATAGTTTCATTAGAAATTACAATAAGTTAAAATCAACAATGTTTCTCAACAAAAAGAACTTTGAGAAAAATATTTTTAACAAATAATTGATGGTATAAATGATTAAAGGAACTTGCCCTGACAGTAAAAAGTTGTGTGTCCAAATTCGTGTGCCAAAGTCATTTTGTAAGGGATAAAAACGATTCCAGCAGAAAAACCTTTCAAGGGAAGCCATCAATCATAGATTAAAACTATAACACCTAGCCTGATTGATGCAGGAGCATTTATGGCATTATGAGATTGCAAATCCCACAATTTTGAATTGTCAGGATCCACCATCCCGCTATCCCAAACAGAGGGATCTCACGATCCTGTGGAATCATGCGGAGCCACCATCGCAAGATTCTAACTAAGGGAAAATCTTATTGTTTTTTTTTTTTCCTTCATTTATTGAGCAAGTTTCATTTATTTGTTTCTTCCTTTTTTGGTTCTTACATATTTCTCATGTTTCGAATTAGGTATTTTTCTATGAGGGAACTTCTTTATATGTTGTAATAGGTTGTTTGGGATTTCAGTTTTGTTAATTTTATGAAGTTTGAGAGGCATTTTCTCTAATTTATGTTTTTCGAGTGTTGTATCTCCTTATTGCAAGCAGTGTATTTGTAACTTGTCCAGAATAGGTGGTAGATCCCTCTCAACGTCCGCACTTCCTCGTTTCATCATTTACCGTTGTTTTCAATCTGGGCAGCCTCTAAACTCTCCCAATTGCTGTCTAACAGCAGCTTTTATCGCATCTCCCTCTCCAAACGGTGTCAAATTTCCATGTCTTCCTCACTAAATTTCCTTCTAAATGCCTTTAGGAGCGTTGGAACAGTGTCATTGTTATTTCAACTAAAGCTAATCCTAGCCAATCAGATGCCGTCAAATTTCCATGTTTCATTCCCTCGCTATTCCACAATCACTTCCTCACTAAATTTCCTTCTAAATGCCTTTTAGGAGCGTTGGAACAGTGTCATTGATATTTCAACTAAAGCTAATCCTAGCCAATCAGATGCAAAAGATGTCATGCCAATCAAGATATGAACTTCAGCAAAATCTCTACCTATAACACTCATGTGACTTTCCACCTTCCTTAGTGATATGTCCTCAAAAAACTATTTTAATCACGCCCAAATTTTAAAGCATTTCAAATATAAACGTTCCAAATTCAAATTCAAGATCATTCGGACCCCAACTCTAACAAACTTATATTCAAATGAACCATTTCGACAAGGCGAGCCCGATGAAGCCAAAATTAGCTCGATCCGAGTCTAATCAAGCCCAGATCAAGTCATTTAAGCGCAACTAGAGGCAATTGAATGGTCAAATGGAATCAAAAATTGACAAGCTTATAATCAAATCAAGTGTCATGTTGATCCGAATCCAAAGGACCCAAAATCACTCGAATTTCACATCATTAAAACACTTAAATACTCATACAATATCATATGATCAAAGGGATCACTCTGGGTTGTTTGATAGAGTGATCCAGATTCATGAAGTAATTAAAGATGGCATCTCTCACAAAATCTATAAATAGACCACAACTCCCTTCATGAAAGGGGGCCTGGGCCTGAAAGAGAAGCTGAAGAAGCTTCAAACTCTTAGGGATTCTTGAGCTTCACCACTGTCAAACCACCACGACCAACGAAGCCGCTAATCAATTACCGCAATCAAGCCACCATTGTTACCCAACCACCGTCGTTGAGCCGCCCCACAGTCGGAACACTATCGATACCACCCCACCAGCACCAACTAGTCGTCGCCGTCGTCGTCGCACTGCCCTTCCACTGTAAGACCACCGTTGCCACTACTACGCCACCGCAGTTAATCTGTTGCCCTCGTCGAACCATCATCGCCACTGTCGGGCTACTGATGTAGAACCGCCGCCGCCAGACCATCGTTGACCGGCCATCGTCATCAAGTCAACTCCCTCGTTGGACCACAATTGCCACTTTCTAGCCACCACCAACTAGCAGCCGACTCTGTCGGACCAACCGCTCAACTGCCAGGCCACAGTCTTCAAGTCGCCGCAGCGCCGAACCACCGCTTCCCAGCCAACATCCTTAAATCACCCCCACCGCTGAACCACCGTTGCCCAACCACAACACTCTAGTCGCAACCACGGTCGAATCACTGTTGTCGCCACCAGACCACCATCGTTTGACCACCGTCGCAGCCCGACCACCAACGTAGAGCATGGCCTTTGCTGGACCATTATTTTCTAGCCAACATCACATGGTCATCGCCAAACCATCCGTACATTATCATCTATTCTTCACCACAGCCATATCACTGTCGTCTGACCGCCACCGCTGAAGGACCACCATTGCCCAATTACCGCCTTCTGGTTGTCACCACTACCAGGCCTCCACTGCCTGACCATCACCATCGCCGCCGCTACCGCCAACATTGGCATCAGACTTTCTGGCACTCGACCTATCGTCAGCTTTTCTCACAGCAATAAAGACAATGCCACTTTCTCAATATTTGTCACTTGTCTTAGAGAAAGTCATATCCCACTTGTGTAATATTGCTTCCAGTTATTCAAGGGGTGGATAAAGTTTTGTAACCAACATCTGCATGATGGAATCATTTCAATTGGGCCAAACCCCATGGTTTTGTCCCTTCAGATTTTTCACATAAAAACTCAAGTTGTCTTCTCTGAGTGGATAAAGTTTTGTAACCAACATCTGCATAATGGAATCATTTCAATTGAGCCAAACCCCATGGTTTTGCCCCTTTAGATTTTTCACATAAAAACTCAAGTTGTCTTCTCTGTCAATTTTTTTTTACCTGTGTGTGTCGAATCTTCGTACAACACTAAGATGCTAATATATAATTCAACCACCACAAATTTAAGAGCATGTGTTGCAATCGTGATAAATGTTCAAGTACAATACCTGCTGATTATTAAATAAAAAAATCTGATGGTAACTCTCCAATACGAATGCGACAATAAAAAAAAAACTCACTTTGCTAGCTAGTAATTGAGAGATGGATCAAAATATAATTGTGAGAAAAAGAATAGACAAACCATTGTTAATAAGTTCCTTTTACAGAAGCAACATAATGGTTCTGATAGTAGTTCTAATGAGGGATTTAAAATCATCAATTTTACTGAACAGCAGCATCAATGTCCAAATTCGAGTGAAAGATTTTTTTTGTAATGAATATAAATGAGTACAGATGCTTACCCTGACAGTAAAGACAACAGTGCTTACATTCACATAAATAACTATCCCTAAAACTATTAGGCCTAGCCTGACATTTCAAGTAAACACTTAATCGTAGATAATCAGATACAAAAGAAGTTATGCAAGTCATGGTCTTTCAGCAAACTTCTCTACCTATCATCTTCATGCGACTTTCCACCATCCTCTGCATCTCCAAAAGGCTTTTAAGACTTTAGAACTCATGTTTTAATACTAGGAAGAAATCAAAGGCATCATTGAATGATTATTGAATAAAAATATGTGTTGGTAACTCTCTCATGTGACTTGAAAAACAAGTATCCATTTTTCTAGTTATTAAATAAAAAATGGATCCATATATGATTAGGAGAATCAAAAATCCAATATAACAAATGTTGATAAATTCAATTAACTGAAGCAAGAAAATTATATACATTAGAGTTATATAATGAGGAACATAAAATCATAAATGTTATTCAACAGCAGAATCAATAACCAAAATTGTGTAAAATATTTGTATAACAAATAAGTATTGGTAAAAATGAGAAGGTGCTTACCCTTACAGTAAAAAGTTGAGTGTTTGCATTCTTGTGCCCAAGTCGTTTTTTAACGCATTTCAACACATCTTTTGCTTGCCTGATTACCAGAAATAAGAAAAAAAACACTTGTATGCTAAGAAACTGCATATGGGCCTACATACATAAGCACAGTAGATACAAAAGAACAAATAAGAAAGATAACCATGAATAATTCATGTTTGCAAATTATTGAAAAATCAAGCGCTGTAAAATGTTTGCTTCTACTTAACAATATATA